CCCCCCACTCCGCCGATGGTTGACTCCAAATCTCCCGACCACTGTGTCGATCTGAGAAAGCAAGCCCAAGACAAGACCGAGGGATCCGAGACTGAGACACACCAAGACCAAAGTCCGTCGAAACATCAACTCTAGTCCTGGCGTGCATCCTTTTCGTGTCCAGATTCTTCACGGTGCTCTGGAGGAACAAGTGGCGCCCCCTCCACTCCCCGGGCTCAGCACGGCTGATGGTGTCACCCCTCGACGGCAAGACGTTCAGAGTCTTTTCTTAAACGAAACTCGTGCCTCCCCAGACCCACTGAGTTACATGTTCCCACCACCTCTACCTGAAGGTAGATCTAAATGTTAAACAGAGTTTATCTGTCAGCATGGGGAACAAATGTATTTCTTCAGTGGAAGAAAGAGTCTACACGGGAAGGCAGGAAACCCACAAATCTTTTCTATCTGTTCTTCAGCTGTACTAAAGAAAATAGTCTGAAATACTTTCTTTAAAATAAAAAACTACTACAACTGTTTAATACACTGCTTAATATTATCTTAATGTACTTCATTCTTGTATTTCAGTGTTTCCTACTCATACACTTTGGTTTGCAGGTTTATTAGTGGCTCCCGCAGCTCATTTTTGATTGCTCAGACTATAATGTTAACAGGAAAAGGAAGAATTCCTTTTTAACAGGAAGAGGCCTCCTCAGCACCAGGATCAGGGAGGTGCTGCCATCTGCTGGAAGTGTTTCAGGTTTGAAGGGAAAAGAAAAGAGAAAAGAGGAGCCTTAACCACACCAACCCTGACTGTAAGCTTTGTCACAAACATAAAAAACAAAAAACAAAACATTGATGTTGACATTATACATTTAAATGTTGATTGTGTGAATTCAGTTTTTAAGCCGTGTCACCTCTCTGAGGTATGTTCGACACTCACCTCTTCTTCAGCTTTCCTGCTCTTTTGGTGTCTTGTCAGTAAATTGCTGCAGTCTGCAGATGTGAACCCAGTGTGGGAACTAAAACTGTCAACATGTAATATACCAGCTTGCATATGACTGCTTCACCAACATTGTGGTTTTATACAGCTGCTTAAAATAAAGACAAAAAGGAGGTTTAACAAAGATGAAGAGCTCAAACTTCAAGTGTGCATTTACATTTAAGCCCTTTTTATTTAATATTATAAGTGTGTTTTTCTTCCTTTCAAGTTGCTTCCTAAAGCCCTAAAAGATTACCTGAAATTGGTTCAAGAGACTTTTAAATGATCTGTTTTGTGCCCATTTTAATGAATCAGTTCTTTTGGCCACTTAGGATCACATGTGAACATGTGTGACCAACCGAGATGGGCAGTAACGCGTAATCCGATTACTTTTTCCAAGTAACGAGTAATGTAAGGGATTACTATTGCAAAACGGGTAATTAGATTACCGTTACTTTCCCGTAAGCACACTGCATTACTGCTTTATTAATACCGTGACTTTTTTGCGAGTGTCTCATGACAATGACGTAAGCCAGTGTGACGTTCGTGACAACAGCTGTGTGCAGATCAACAATTAGTGAT